AAAATAGTATTAAATGCAAAAAATAATAACGATAATGCAATAAATTGATTGTATTGTTTTTGTTCAAATGAAATAAAGTAGACTAGGATTTCTGAGGCAGCAATATGATTACACCTTAGAGTACTTCTGATTGCTAACTTTGACACTGTAGATGTTTGTACACTATATTTCCAATGATACTGTCGGGTTGGGCAAACATCCCAGATAATGTAGACTAATAGACTTGTACAGGGTGAGAAAATTGTGTTGTTATTAACTACTTTAAAAGTAAAAAAAAAAAAAATACATTTAGTAATGAAAATTTCGAGATGGGCAAAATGGTGCCTATCACCTATAACTGTGCTTGAATGCAAACATTGCTACAATATTTCCTGGACCGATAGCTACACAATAGCAGGCATATTTGCAATGGCAAGACCTAGTACCCTGAAATTATTAAATGTTTGAATTAAAAAAATATATATATATGTATATAGGGAAGAAGTTTGAGCCACTGAGGAATACTTTACAAATCTTCATACACATCTGTCTAACATAAGGGACATGGTCCACCAACTTCAGTCTGCCAAAATCATTATAGAGGGCCAAAAAGGATGCCACCACATTAAAATAAGAGGCATTCCAGTTACCATAAAAACTATGGAATTACATCATTAGCTTCAACGCCTCAAAATGGTATATATAGGTGATGGAAGTGCACTCAATCCCTTGTCTGGAATCCAGGGTTCTCTAGTGGATAAGTCCCAGTACCAAAAAAGGACCGATTGTAGCATTTGAATACAGAAAATAATCCAGGCACTCCAATGAATTCCAAAATATAGGCAATCTTTATTGGAACAAGGAACCAAACAGCAATGTTTCGACCCCTTAGGGCTTTTGTCAAACTTGACAAAGGCCCTAAGGGGTCGAAACATTGCTGTTTGTTTCCTTGTTCCAATAAAGATTGCCTATATTTTGGAATTTGTTGGAGTGCCTGGATTATTTTCTGTATTCAAATAGCTTCAACACCTCGTGACATCCATCTTACCCCCAAGTCAGGCTAAAAAGCTCATCTTTGTTGGGGCATACCTCTAATACTATGAGGAACATAATTGTCCTTTGCCCATCTTCACAAACAAGGGCCTCATCATTTTAGCAGTGCTGGGCAAGATGCCATATAACTTTGAAGAATCTAGTCTTACTATTTATCAGGATCTCATAAGATCCACAATTCAGTGGTGCAAATCTCTTGGCTTTGTCACAAAACAGTTAAAGGACCACTATAGTGCCAGGAAAACATACTCGTTTTCCTGGCACTATAGTGCCCTGAGGGTGCCCCCACCCTCAGGGTCCCCCTCCCACCCGGCTCTGGAAGGAGGAAAGGGGTTAAAACTTACCTTTTTCCAGCGCTGGGCGGGGAGCTCTCCCGATCCTCCTCTTCTCCCCCCGGCGAATGCCATCGCCACGAAGCGCGCCACAAGATTCAGTCAAGGATAGGAAAGCATTTGCTTTCCTCTATGGATGCTAGCTCTGCTCGTGAAAATCACAGTGAGAAGTATAGTGGCTGTCAATGAGACAGCCACTAGAGGAAATAGGGGAAGGCTTAACCCATTCACAAACATAGCAGTTTCTCTGAAACTGCTATGTTTATGAAAAAATGGGTTAACCCTAGAAGGACCAGGCACCCAGACCACTTCATTAAGCTGAAGTGGTCTGGGTGCCTAGAGTGGTCCTTTAAAGTCAACAGGCTTTGAATACCGATTAAACACATGGCTTTTGTTTTTTTTTATTTATGTATCATGTCTCCTAGAGCTGCTAGTAAAACTCTGTATATCACCAGATATAAAATAAAAAGAAAAAAAAAGAAAAATAGGAAGTGAGAGAACTTATTTTTTTGTCAATCTTTGTTTTTATTGGGGCATGAGATATGACAGTACAGAATGCAAAGGGAGTTAGAGCATTTAACCACATGATATGCACGGTACATCAAAATACTCCAGCGTGTACTTATTTTTATAATGATTTATTATAATGTTTTTCCTTTTGTTGTTTCTTATTAATTAAAAATGGGAAGCAGAAGTAATTTCTAGATAAAAATAGGGTATTTGTCAAAAAATAAAAGGAAAATGTCAGTGGACAATTGACCTCCATATCACACCTTCCACCCTTACAAGAAAAAAGTTATCACACACATCCAGCCTGTAGTGTCAATGAGCGTCATTAACTGTGAAAAAATACAATGTTCTCTCAGCTTCTCCCAACTGCGTCTGGCACCGCAAGATTCAGCCAGGCAGGGCAAAACTCCATTCCATCCTTCATTTTGTCAGGTGCTGGGAACGGCACTCTGACCCAGCAAAATACAAACAAAAGAAACAGCCTCTTTTACATTCTATTCCCTATAGTTTGTGTGAGTTGGTTCCCTGAGATTCTGGCACGAGGCAGCTCGGGAAATAGAAATTCGGGCTGAAATTGAGCCAAAACTAATCTCCAAGTCTATACTGTATTTCACAAACTGCTGTATTAAGAAAACAGATCCCCAAGTATGAAATTAGTCCTGACTCCTGAATTATCTAGTGAAGACAATTATTGAAAATAATTAATATAAAGTACAATATATAGATATAATATAAAGAGAGAGTTATTTGAGGAAAATTAGAGAAAGTATGTATTATTTGTTGGCAAAATGGGGTTATTAACCTTGTATCGTACATGTTTGTTTTTCTTATTTTCTTGGCTTTACAAAGCCCTTATGAGTTTTACTCCTCTGGTTAGCAAAGAATTTATATAATTCTTTCAATTTTCTGAAAATACTTTCTGTATACTATACTAATTGCAGTATATCATTTCTTCCAATAAACTTAGAGAAACTCAATAAAGGAAACTATGTAGCAATATAACTATACTCTCCAAACACCTCTTGACTTCAAGTCATAATGAATACTTTTAGCACAGAATCAATAATTAGTGCCTTAATGATTAGAGAGCTACTAGCCGCTCTCCATACTATAAAAACAATGATTCTGTAACATCTGCAATCTTTAACTTCGGGGAGTAATATTCAACCTGTTTAACTTCCTACATATATTAATCATCAGGTAATGACACCACACCAGGAGAAATATACAAGCGACACGGGTGCTAGAGTAAAAATCCACCTTTATTATACAGCAATAAAATAGAATAATCCACAGCTTTGAAGTTTATTTGAGGAAGAAAAGAATTGCGGTTATGAAGACATAGGTGTATCACTTGGCTGTTTGTCTCATCACTTGGACAGCAAAGCTGTGTATTGTTCTATTTAAAATAAATGTGGATGTTATCTACTTCACATAGCTGGTATATTGCTCTTGGTGTCATGCCAATGGTTTGTCATTTTCACAACACCTGCATCTACCGCAACTGAAACAGGGTATTCATTACTCAAGCTATAGCATTCAACAATTTTTTGGTTGAGACAATTTAAATTTAATATATTCTTCAGTGTAAGTCAATGTGAACATTAACAGTGAACTCACAGACTATTCTTTATATAGGTCAGCCTGCATGTACTCAAGGTGCAATTGACATCTACCAAGTTCATATCTCCGTACCTTTTTGAGTGTTGTCTGAAAAATCTTGGAATTTGCTGTTTAGTGTAGAAGATGCTTTTATTTCAGGTAGACCTGGCATATTACTGCCTATTACTGTGCATGAAAGTGGATACTGTGCTTTAAACTGTACAGACAGATTATTGCTCTGCCTGTTTCCTTTGCAATGGTGGAATGACTTTTTCCTACATATCACGAGTTCTTTTTGAAGTGGTGTAATGCAATTTACTGCTCTATCATTCTTTATAAAAGCCATAGACTCTTGTACGAAACAATGAAAGTGTTGCAGACTTCAATACACAGCAGAAATGTGCTGAGCACAGTGGTCAACAAAGTGGCAATCTGAAATCATATAGCTTTTAAACCTCCAAATGGTGTGAGTATGAAAAAGCAAAGAAAACAATCACACTGTTACCAATAAAGTGGTTTGGAGATTTAAAATGTTTGCTAAAATAAAGATGTTTTTTTCTCTTTTGCCACATTTAGCTAGCTATTAAATCTTAGACTGGCACTAGTTATTTTATAAGACCATGGCAAAATATTGGAGTTACTTTTCTCCCAGGATGTTCAATATAAAAAGTAAACTAGACAGACAGATGGACGGTAGATAGATAGATATACATTTTTCTAATCTATTTTTTTCTATAATAATACTCCTTCCTATGAATAGGTAGAATTTTCATACCTAGGATTAGAAAATCTTGGAACACTGGTCATTTATGACCCTAGGTTCTTCATACTTTCCCTCTTCCACTCATAATGTCATTGACTCAGTGCTATCATATCGAAAGTATCCCAGCTCATCATCCTAGTTTGAATCTCAACTGTCAGACAGTCTTAGAAACTGGCAAAAGTTACTAAATGAAGGGATGTAGAGGTAAAATAATCCAGCATAATGCTATCTATCGCAAAGTGAAAACAGGTAGTGTAAAATGGGTGGAATTTGGACTTACTAGAAACAGCTAGTCCAGTATTCCTGGATTTTCAAATTGTTATGTACAAGGATAACATCTTACTTTGACTCTACACTTTAAGTACCTCATTTCTTTAAGAGAGTACTAAAATACTGACTTGAAAATGTGTATGATTATTTGGGGTATTTTCCACTAGTTATTCTACAATCTAGAACACTCGAACACATGCGACCACAAATGAAGATAGATTGAAGATAGATTTTAACAATATTATTATTACAATTCAAAGCATAATCCCACTAACCTCTTCTCGTGACATAGGCTAGAGGAATGATGTGACAGTGGGGAAGACTACCCTTCGCTGTAAATACCAATAAAAAATGAGAACGTTTACTGACTTTGGAGGAGTAGTAACAAAATACAGAGTAATGTACTGGATTATTCCAAATTGTTTATCACTAGTATTAATGGTTAGTGATGTCCCGAACGGTTCGCCGAATGGTTCGCCACGGACTCCAGTCAGCAGACACATTCCAGCCAATCAGCAGCAGACCCTCCCTCCCAGACCCTCCCACCTCCTGGACAGCATCTATTTTGGAGCTGCATACTTAGTCAGCTGTCCAAGAGGTGTGAGGGACTGGGAGGGAGGGTCTGCTGCTGATTGGCTGGAATGTGTCTGCTGACTGGAGTCCGTGGCGAACCGTGGCGAACCGTTCGTGAACCGTTCGGCTAACCGTTTTTGAACCATTCGGCGAACCGTTCGGGACATCACTATTAATGGTACATTACACTATAGTCACCAGAACAAATACAGCTTAATGTAAAATGCAGTGTTTACATTGCCCCCTATGGACACCTTCAGTGGCCACTCCTGGATTGGTTAAAAATCTTAAAATCTGATGATGTCAACAAGGAGGTGGATCGGGGGGGGTTAAGCCACCTAAATGGTGGTTTTAACACTATAGGGTCAGGTATACATGTTTAAATATCATGTTTATGCCAGTGTAGGCTATTTGTGCTATAGTAATGGTAATATATTTGTGGCAAAGATGCCTCTGCCACAAGCTCTTGGAGGAGCCTTTTGGCTAGCCTCCTGCCCAAGGACTATGGGCCATGTAAAAGACCTTTAAAAGACTTGGTTCGTGTGGTTTCCCTTTTTATTTCGGGAACCGAACAACCACACGAATTGCCGACCACCTCTGGGCTCATTAACTCCTATTGACCTCTCCTGACACCTCAACATTCCAAGTGTTCAGTTGGGTGGCCTCCGTTCATATGCACGAACACGTGGTAACTGAGTTGGCGGACATCTTGTTCGCACGAACGCAGACACGAACACCACTGAACTTTGATGAACATCTGCTTCTTTTATGTACATGTCAGGAGAATGCCGTTCGGTAGGATTGTTTACATGAACTAGGTAAACAATTGCTACCTAGAAGCCAAACAAGTTCGGTATTTCATTCGGTTTTGGACTCCCAAAAGTGGCCGACAGCTACAACTTTTCTTATGAAGCTATTTTGGGCAGAAGCCACGTGTGCGGTCAGTCAAAAGTTTACTTCCATGGAAAATCCAAACCACTAAACCGATCTGAGGGCTTTTTTGATACGATAGGAACTCAAATCAGGGCTATCTGGGGATGTGACTCTTGAGGGGGTTACATGTATTTTAGGGGTACCTTTGGAGTCTTGTAAAATTGTTGTATTTCTCTGTACCTGGGGATAATTAAGTTTATACAGTTTCTGACTCAATTATTTCTCAGGCACAGGAGAGGAGTTTACTGTATGTATATATTCTGAAGCTTTGCCTGCATTAAACAGATCTACTCCTAGCGTTAAGTCACGGCTAATGTGTGGGGGGGAATGCTATAACAGCTATACTTTGATCACTGGAAGCTGGATCCAGGAACCTGCTCCAGGGTGGAAAGCAACAGCAAGACTCCAGCCAAGCTGCGGCAGCTAGGGGCTGAAGTGCTGATGGTGTCCCGGCGATAGCTAGGAAGCGTGCTTGGCGGAGGTAGCCAATCGGGATACCAGGCGGTCGGCCACAATAAGAGTGGGATATAAAGCCCTTCGTCTAAATTTTTTTTTAGAAAGATACAGAACTTTATAAATTCATAATTCTGCTTATTGTAAAAGTTTTACTTACGCCAGCAATGCTTTAAATATTTTTTATTTTTAAAAGTTGTAATTTCTTTAAATCATTGAGCCGTCTAGTTTCAAAATGTTTAGTCAAATAAAACAATGCATTTTGAAAACATATTTATCCATTTTGTTCAGTATAATAGCTAAGCAGTTTTCCCACATAACCATATATTTGCTTTGCAGGAAATGTAATATATTAAAAATATTAAAGTTTGATAGATGACCTAAGTCTTGAATAATCACAAGGCTGTCAGGTTTTCTGCAGATGAAGTTGTTTTTCTTCTTGTCTGTATGAGTTACTATGCCAACATACAGAAAGTGTTTGTTTTAAGTTTTAATAACTCAACACAAATAATATATTGTATTTATGAGCAGAAATTGCCCATAACAAGTCAAAACCTTATTTTCTGACTGTATGTTATCATAGAGAGTAGAGTCATCACTACTATGCTGCTAAATGCAGTTCCTAGTCTCAAGTGGATGTTTTAAAGTATTATTTGTTTATTTCTTAAATTTACCTTTAGGCAGGGGTAAATGGGGCTTATACTCCAGGCCTTACATTATAATGTGTATTTTTTGTTAATTATTTATGTTTGTGTTTGTTTGTTACACATTCCTTATGTTCCAGTGGAAAAAGCACACATCTATAGCACACATCTCACATTATATTCCAGTGAACACCTGAAAAAAAGGTTAGACAAGGGGTAGGCAACATTTGGCACTCCAGATGTTGTGGACCACGTCATCCATAATGCTCTTACAGCCATAATGCTGGCGAAGAATCGGGGCAGATGAAGTCCACAACATCTGGAATGCCTGAAGGTTGTCTACCCCTGATTTAGGCAATTATGTCACATTGTCAATAGTGCACTTTTTTACATTCAGGTGTGTGCATCAAAAGGACTAAGTAGAACACCAGGTGTATACAGAATATACAGCACAAGCCTTAGTATGTACAGTGAAGGGAAAAAATTATTTGATCCCCTGTTGATCATTTCTTGTAGTTGGCCATCAGGTTTGCACACATTTCAGGAGGGATTTTGTCTCACTCATCTTTGCAGATCCTCTCCAAGTCATTAAGGGTTCGAGGATGACATTTGGCAAAACGAACCTTCAGCTCCCTCCACAGATTTTCTATAGAATTAAGGTCTGGAGACTGGCTGCTCCTTGAGCCACTCCTTTGTTGCATTGTCTGTATTTTTGGGGTCATTGTCATGCTGAAATACCCATCCACGACCCATTTTCAATGCCCTGGCTGAGTGAAGGAGGTTCTCACCCAGGATTTCTTGGTATATGGCCCTGTCTATCATCCCTTTGATGCGGTGCAGTTGTCCTGTCCCCTTAGCAGAAAAACACCACCAAAGCATAATGTTTCCACCTCCATGTTTGACGGTTGGGATGGTGTTCTTGGGGTCATAGGCAGCATTCCTTCTACTCCAAACTCGATGAGTTGCGTTGATGCCAAAGAGCCTGATTATGATCTCATCTGATCACAACACTTTCATCCAGTTCTTCTCTGAATCATTCAGATGTTCATTGGCAAACATCAGATGGGCCTGTACATTTGCTTTCTTGAGTAGGGGGATCATGCAGGCTCTGCAGGATTTCAGTCCTTCACAGTGTAGTGTGTTAACAATTGTTTTCTTGGTGACTATGGTCTTACCTGCCTTGAGAGCATCAACTATACTCTCCAAACACCTCTTGACTTCAAGTCATAATGAATACTTTTAGCACAGAATCAATAATTAGTGCCTTAATGATTAGAGAGCTACTAGCCGCTCTCCATACTATAAAAACAATGATTCTGTAACATCTGCAATCTTTAACTTCGGGGAGTAATATTCAACCTGTTTAACTTCATACATATATTAATCATCAGGTAATGACACCACACCAGGAGAAATATACAAGCGACACGGGTGCTAGAGTAAAAAGATCCTCCTGTATAGTTCTGGGCTGATTCCTCACCGTTCTTATGATCATTGAAACTCCACGGGGTGAGAATTAGCATGGAGCACCAGACCAAGGGAGACTGACAGTTACTTTGTGTTTCTTCCATTTGCAAATAATCGTACCAACTGTTGTAACCTTCTCACCAAGCTGCTTAGCAATGGTCTCGTAGCCCATTCCAGCCTTGTGTAGGTCTACAATATTGCCCCTGACATGCTTGAATAGCTCTTTGGGCTTGGCCATGGTCGAGTGTTTTGAATCTGATTGATTGATTGCTTCTGTGGACAGGTGTCTTTTATACAGGTAACGAGTTGAGATTAGGAGCACTCCATTTAAGAGTCAACTGGGAGCCAGAAATCTTGCTGATTGATAGGGGATTAAATACTTATTTCACTCATTCACATGCAAATAAATGTATAACTTTTTTGACGTGTTTTTATGGATTTTTTTTTGTTATTCTTTTTCTTACTGTTAAAGTACACCTACTTTTGGCACTCCAGATGTTTTGGACTACACCTGCCATGAGGCCTTGCTAGTATTATTGGTGTAAGAGCATTATGGGGGATGTAGTCCACAACATCTGGAGTGCCAAACTATTTTTAACATGTTTATAAATGATCTTGAAAAAAGTGTTGAAAGTCATGTTTCAGTGTTTGCAGATGACACACAGTTCTGTAAAGTAATACAATGTGAGCAAGATATTACTTTGCTGCAGAGGGATTTAGATAGACTGGGGTACTGGATATTCAAATGGCAGATGAAATTGAATGTAGAAAAATGCAAAGTTATGCATTTTGGCGTAAAGAATGCACAAGAATGCACTTATACCCTTAATGGAAGCAATTTAGGGATAACAACACATGAGAAGGACTTGGGAATTGTTGTAGACAACGTATTATGCAACAATGTGCAATGACAATCAACAGTGGCTAATGCCAGTAAGGTATTGTCATGCATGAAAAAGGGCATTAATTCTTGGGATGAGAATATAATTTTGCCTCTTTATAAATCGCTGGTAACACCACATCTTGAATATGCTATGCAATTTTGGGCACCTGTTCTAAAGAAGGATATTATGGCACTAGAAAAAGTGGTAGGCTACAAAATTAATAAAAGGAATAAACATTTTAGCTATGAAAAAGGTTAACAAATTTAAACCTCTTTAATTTGGAAAAACATTGCCTCAGAGGGGATATGATAACATTATACAAATTTATCCAGGGCCAATACAAACGAGTGTGTGGAAATCTATTCACAAACAGGACTATACATAGGACATGAAGTCATGGTTTAAACTGGAAAAAAAAGATTTAGTTTAAGGCAAAGGAAAGGGTTTTTTTTACTGTAAGAACAATAAGGATGCGGAATGCTCTGCCTGAAGAAGTGGTTTTATCAGTCTGTGCAGTTGTTTAAACAGCAACTAGATGCATACTTAAAAAATTATATACAGTTGCAAGAAAAAGTATGTTAACCCTTTGGAATGATATGGATTTCTGCACAAATTGGTCATAAAATGTGATCTGATCATCATCTAAGTCACAACAATAGACAATCACAGTCTACTTAAACTAATAACACACAAAGAATG